CCAGCACACCCTCTTCTCAGCGGGCGCTCGAACACTTCACACCATATGATGCAAGGCTTCTTCGAGATGATGCCAGATAAGCAGACACAGAAACAGGAAGACGCCGTGTAATTGCAAAGTACGCGTCAAGATCCAGGGTCAATGCTGGATCCTCCTGCTGACATGTGGAAAGACGTTCCAAGATGGACTTTCCGGAATACCGCCGGAGAAAGTAGCAGGCTTCACCACCTCTCGTACATCAGCTCGACATGTGGGGTAGACAAACCACAGTTTACGAGTGACTTGCGTACGAGGCTCAAAACCCCTTCCAAGCATCACTGGCGTCATGTGGAGAAGATTCCGCAGCTTCCAAGGCGTCGAAGCTGCTTCCACTGGAAAGACAAAGCGCGACAGGTCTACAGGCCAATTGTTTGGATCACAACCCCCCGAAAGCGACTTTGAGATATCGGTTGCTCCGTTACTAGAAGACGGACCAGTCGCACCAGCAGACACTGAAGATCTGCAGCATCCAGGTGTCCCCTGGAGCATCTCACAGTTGAAGAAGATAGGGCAGGGCGAGACCGCTCGGCAGTTGAGATGACCAGAGAGAGTTTAGACACAACCATCTGCTTGACTCTTACCCCATCTGTACGAAGGTACGCATCAGTTCAGAATCCCTTCACGACAAAGATCCCCATGGCAGGATTGTCTGCCGTCCAACCCCCGTCTCATCTCCCGGGCATGTTTGTGGGCTAGTGGAAGCCCATCAGCTCACTCTCGATGGCCACAGATCGTGGGGCTAGCGTGTGGGGCATTCTGTTGTTTTGTGAGAATGGGGAACCCCCGACGATGTCCTAGAACATGTGTGGCAGCGTGGAGGAGCAAGGACAATGATTTTTGTTCAGAACCGCCCTGGGTGGCATGGCTGTAATGGGGGTTTCTGGGGAGGGCTACTCGCACCTTCTTAATCATCCATTCTTTTCGTCAAACGATACCTCAATTGCTCTTCACCAGACATCTCTAGCAACATGGAGATCAAAGCAACCGACGACGGGCCGTTGACGAAGTCAGCAGTTGTAACTGCATGGCAGTTCGTAGCGGCCCATCCCTTCGTGATCCTTTTCCTGCTGCTGTTTGTACGACCTCTATGGAGACGCTACTCCTCCCCTTTGCGACAATTCCCTGGGCCGTTCATCGCCTCATGCACCAGAGCATGGAAAGGTGGGTTTGACCAAGGAAGAATAAAGAGAGACCTTTCGACTGACCGAACTATGCAGTCTGGAGCACTTGGTCGGGCCAGACCGAGCAACATCACATTGCACTTCACAAGAAATATGGTAATTGAAGCACCTTTTCAAGTCCCTCGACAATGCTGACTCCCAACCAGGTCCAGTCGTGCGCATTGCACCAAATGAGGTGTCTTTTGCAAACCCAGAAGCTGCAATTGAACTGTTCAAGACAGGAAAGGGTTTTCACAAAACAGACTTCTATGGGGTGTTTCCGCCGCCCGAGAACCCGGATATTTTCACCGAGACTCGAGAAGCCGTCCACGGGGTCAAGAAACGATATGCAGCAACTCCTTACAGCTTGGCCTCAATGCAGCAATGCACACCTCGGATCGAGGAGACCGAAAAGCTCCTAATATCCAAATTGGACGAATTTGCCGACAATAATAAGATTTGCGATTTTGGTGACTGGCTTCATTTCTTCGCTTTCGACGTGAGTTGGAGATTGTTTCCGCTCGATTGGTGATGCAGATCTGATTATTCGTTGTTTGCAGGTCCTGGGTGAAGTCGCATTCTCCAAGAAATTTGGGTTTCTTGAGGCAGGTGTCGATGTTGACCGCGCTATCAAGACCATCGACAATTCCCAATGGTATAACGGCATCGTGGGCCAGGTTCCGTGGCTCGATTACCTTTTCCGACGAAACCCGCTGTGGAATCTTATCCCGTTCATGTCCAGCAAAAATGCTCTCATCACTAAGACAGCACTGGGTCAACTTCAGAAACGTCAGGGCCCTGATGGGGAAAAGGTCGAGTACAAAGATCTCCTCAACAGCTTGATCGTGGCGCAGAAAGAACACCCTGAAGCCCTAGGTCCAGGAGATGTATTCGCAATAGCACATGGCGCCATCTTTGCGGGCAGCGATTCCACCGCAAGCACCATGCAAAGCTTCTTCTGGTATGTGTTGTCCAACAAGAAAGTTTACGACAGGCTAGTTGGAGAGATCTTGTCCGCCAATCTGTCCGAGATGGTCACGTATAATGAGGCACAGAATCTGCCCTATTTCCAAGCCTGTCTGAAAGAAGCCATGAGGATTGCTCCTGCTGTCGGGCTGAATATCACGAGGAAGGTTCCTCCTGGTGGTGCCGAGATTGATGGTGTTAGATTACCTGAGGGCACCGCCGTTGCTGTGAACGGATGGGTGTTACATAGAGACAAGAGTGTCTTTGGTGACGATGCCGAGGTATACCGACCGGAACGATGGCTTGATGGCGATAAGGAAAAGGTCAAGATGATGGAACGATGCATGTTCCAGGTGAGTTCAAATGCCCTAAATCTCAGATCGAGACGTGGTAAACCAGAGGTTAACTTTACGTTGTCAGTTCGGAGGCGGATCTCACGTATGCATCGGACGACATCTTGCTCTCCTTGAGATGAACAAGGTGATCCCCGAGCTACTTCGACGTTATGACATTCAGCTGGTCAACCCTGGAAAGAAGCTTGAGCATCACTCCAGCTTTTTCGTGGTGCAGTGGGGATTGTTGACTTATATGCGGTTGCGAGAGAAGTCATGAACGCGGCAAGAGTTGCAACTCTCGAGCAACAGATGGAAGGCTTGTAACTTAGCGATTATTGTATTGTGGGCACTTGCCAGCAGGATGGCCATGTCGGCACAAGCGCTATGATGGAGGGATATGGCCTTGCTAGTTTCGCAATGAGGGAAAGCATAGTTACAACGTTGTCAGGATGCTATTTTCGAGGGATAGGTGGGCAGGTTCGACAGTGGGGCGCCATCACACCAGTTCCTTCCTAAGGACAAATCTAAAAAGGATGAAAAAAATAATCAAAGAGTTGTCAACTTGAGTCTAGACATTCCCACCTGTTAGCAGCAACGATATCAATGTAAGATGCTAAGGACTGGGGGAGAGAGTATGTTGAAGTTGGCACTTGGTTGGGGATTTGACGCCAAGACCGAGGTGTTTCACGTGATGACCACGTGCCAGTGAGAAACTCTGTCCCCACATCTCAGACATATAAGCGGCTTGGCATCTCGGCGACTTTGCTGCTAACGTAAGTCGATCCCTCCAGGGCGCGCCACCGTCTAACAAGCGCCACCAACCAACAAGAAGAATAATCCAGAGTCATTTCGGCTCGACAAGTAATAGGTGATTACTCGATACCCGTCCAGGTTGGTCTGCCTGCTCCCTAGTTAGGTAGCCGTGATGATGAATAGGCTATCCCGAACGAGGACTCCGTCGCGAGATGCGACGATGCCGCCACTCAGAGATTGTTGGGCATCTTCTTGTACCTACACGGCACCAACAGACCCCCGGTGAATGTGTACATACGTGGCGAGACCATGGCCGCGGATAAAGATGTGGGTCTCTTTACGTCTCCGCGCGTCGGCAATAGGTTGGTGATGACGACACCTGGCCATGTTGTTCTGGTCGCTCGCAGGACCATCATTTTCGCGAGAATGCAACCCTTGTCTTGACAATTCCTTGCCTGGAAGATACCATCATCTTCACTCATCGTCAATGTAAGACGGTTGCATCTCGGAGGGTCATCCCGGTCGTCAAGGCCGACTCCACAAAGCCTGTGGACTGCAAGTTCAGTGTCAGGACACGAACATGACATCTACGTGCCATAGAAAGACCCAGCGGGTTGACATTTTGATTGCTCGAGCCTCGAATGCCCAAGATTGCCTGGAGCGAGACTTCCTCTCGAGCCTTTTGTCTGTCAGCCTATTTGTTGTTCCGTTTGCACAAACCTTCAGGGCGACTCGTGTGTTAAATAGGCATTCTTGGGACTTTCGAGACCCGTGACTCATCATATTCAGGCTTCCGGATGATGAAGGCAGGGAGCGACGCGTAGACAGCCTTCTCCGAGACACCTTGTGAATGTAAACTGCAGGAAAACTTCTCCAAGCATGCGGACAGTGCAAGGATGAGGGAGGGGAATGAGATAGCGGCACTGAGTATATATGTGGTCGGGGACGTTGAAGCACTTCCTAAGAGGCGCAGTCGCTATCTAATTGGCGGAAATGAAAGTATAAGTAGGAATTCCGACACATTGAGTCCTTCATGATCCCAGGAGTTCATGGCGTCTTCTGGTGTGGTACATTGCTTGCCCCAAAAGTACCCGTCTCCACTGCATGCGTGAAAGAACCAAAGTGCCTTTTCCTCATTCGATTCGGCGAAGAAGAAGTAGAAAATGGCGGGGGTCCAAGGGATAATTATCTTACTCTCATTTACTCCCTCTTTAAGAATGCTGAATCGCCGGAAAGGATGAGAAGAAAGGTGGGTGTGACGGACACGATCTAGGACTCGACCCACTGAAAAGGCTGGCCAATCGGATAGTGACCACGTGATGCCGGCCCGCAAGGCTCCCCTCCACTTCAGGAGTCAATCTCTTTCATTCCTGCACGACAAACTTGACATTCTTGTCCCATCTTCAAGCCTGGCTTCGGTCGACAGTCCCACGTCTCTTAAAATGTAAAAACCGACTTCCCATCCATGATTCACACTGTGTGGAGGCGTTGAATTGCCTGGCCACCTCAGTTGGCAGGTGGCCCTCTGGGCAGGGTCGATTAAATCGGTGGACACCAGATCATTGGCTGATCAGGCCATTTCGCCCTTCAGGCACAGATGAATGAAGGGAGGCGGTGCACTGAACGACCCTGGCCTCGGATCTATATATTCTGCTTCTCGCCCTGATGTATTGAGTTCGACACGCAGCCCAGCATATCGCCCTCCTTTGACCTAACGAACCCCAAACACATCAAACACTTCTACACGATGCCCGCGCAACAAGGCACTATGCTATGTAACGCATGTACCGACCTGATGTCGGTGGTCAAGACACATCCACCAGGTAGCTGGATCGGCACCAAGCCAGCACTCTTTGAACATCCAGAGGGCCCGAATGAATGGGCTGGCTCTCACCACATACATGTGGGCGACTTCTACGAGGCGGTTCAGCGAGGGTGTTACATCTGCTGGACCATCTATAGAGACTGCAGTACCGAGCTTCGAGAACAATCGCGTGCATTCCGCACGTTTTACCAACTCCGTGCATTGGACGCGGATGGCACATTACCTCACCTAGAGGACCATTACGAGTTAGAATTTACTACCGAGATTTTAAATGGAGAGGCACCCATCGCTAAGCAACAGGTTTTTGATTGCAGTGGCCTTTTCAAAATCCTCCCCAAAAATGGTGATTGTCCCCCCGCTGACCTACCATCAGTTCTTTGACTGACCCATCTTTCTCAGAGGTATCTGCATCGGGGGAACCACTCGCTTTAACACCAAACACTTTTTCGGGCAAATGTAAAGACCAGGTTCGGCAGTGGCTTGACAATTGTCGTGTCACGCACGTTCGATGTAACCAAGACTGGCGAACCGGTGACGGTTCTCCCGCCCGCTTATTGCGTATCGACTCAGCATCCGGCGACACGTTTCGGTTAGAGGCCTTTGCGGAGAACACTCGACCTCCCAGATATGTTACGCTGAGTCATTGCTGGGGAGCCGGAACGGCAGTCACGTTGACTACAGAAAATCATTTACGCTTAACGACAGAGTGGTCTCGGATCAACTCGCTACCAAAGAGATTTCAGGATGCTATGGAGATTGCCAGGTGGATGGGAGTAGACTACATCTGGATTGATGCGTTATGCATCATTCAGAACTCTCGGGACGATTGGCTTGCGGAGAGCACAAAAATGGGCGATATTTATACGAACTCGTTTTGCAATATTGCGGCCACGAGCGCCGACCCTCAACAAGGATGTTTTACAGAGAGGCTCGTCTATATGGTGGAGCCATATCCCTTACCAAACCCCCAACTACAAGACGGAGAAAAGACATATGTCATTGGTTACGACGACTTTTGGAGCAACAGCCTCTCCGACACGGCTCTGCACACCCGAGGGTGGGTTCTTCAAGAACGCTTGCTAAGTCCACGTACGATCCATTTCGGACAGGAGCAAATCTTCTGGGAGTGCAGGTGTGAGATGGCCTGCGAAGCATATCCTGATGGCATCCCCGAGCAGTTTCACAACCGGAAAATGCACGCTTGGAGGCAGGCAGACAAAATCCTCGACCCAGCCTATAAGCAACCCTCGGAATTGTCCCTGTTGTCGAAATATCTACCACGATTTCTCTCAACTTGGTTCACCACGGGCTCGAAAGTGGATGATCCGTATTGGGTATATGAAGTTTGGAGCAGGATCGTCGAGGCGTACATGGAATGCAAACTGACCTATGGCGAGGACAAACTCGTTGCGATCTCGGGTATTGCCCAAAAAGTCGCCGAAGCCACAGATGAACGCTACCTTGCTGGGCTGTGGGACAATGCCATGCTTCCTCAGAGTCTGCTCTGGTGCGTCTTGGGCCGAAGACAAGCTGACGGCACTCCATCATTGAGAAGTGCTTCAGCAGGAGACCCCGACTATCGGGCACCATCCTGGTCCTGGGCGTCACTGGAAGCCAAGGTCATCTGGAACTGGCCTGCCAAGTGTGAACAGGTTGTCATCGACGTTCTGAGCACAGACATCGAACAGCCCGAGGGAAGCAGAATGGCCAAGGTGTCCTATGCACAGATGAAGATTCGAGGCGTTCTGGTCGAGGCTTGTCTCCAGGTCGCAAGTCGGGATATGGATGGAGAACCCGAAGAGGACGGACTCTATACGTTGGTGCTCAACAGTCACGCCGACTCCGATGACGTGCGACATTACTCGATGGATCCCACCATCTACCTCGACACCCCGATGATGCCAGACTCCGATTGCATGGATGTATTCCTCCTCCCAATCTGCACACAGTGGCAGGGACGATCTGGAGTGGAGGCAACAGCCCTGGCTGGCCTGCTGTTGAGAAAGGTGATATCGACTACAGGCGGGACGATGTACGAGAGAATGGGGATCTTTGGGCTGGACCACGATCAGGCTCACGCGTTGTGTGGCTCTCGCCCTGACGAACCCTGGTCTATCGAAAATGCGTTGAGGAGGATGAGGCGAGAAGATCTATGTCTCATATGATGGAGGGCAACATGGGCACTTCAAGTTTGATTCTCCCTCAGACTGAAATGCTCCGTACAGTGCTTCATGCTGGATTCTGCATCTTCCTCTCCAATCACCTGGACCATTGATTTTATATTTCTTTGGCAGGGGTGTTCAGGGGGAAGACGGCAACCATGGGAGGAAAAGTTTGTATGGTTATTGTATTTTTACATATATCTCATGTAGCCTTAGCTTCCATATACGTAGCCTATACATAGCAGGTGCTTGGGCTCTATACAGAGACCTGAGGACCATTAACAATGTACCAAAACAGAATGCAACAAGTTTGGAATACACCCTTCATTATCGAGGAAACCAAGGAGATAATATTATGGCTGAGGAAAAGCAGGCGCAGAGACAACGAATTGACGACCGGATCGAACGAGTAGATTTGGGAAAATCAATGTCGCAGCTTCTTCGGATGGCTGCTGTGGGTGGGAGCTGAGGCCGGGTTTGTCCTCCGCACACAGACAAACTTTCACCCACCTACACTTTTTCAGATTTTCATCACGCCTTGATCCCCATCTAGATCTTCATGCATCCTACACATTTTGGATATCCTTGCTTCCCGTTCGATTTCGGTGAAACAACCACCAAGGGCGTGAAGTGGAAGGGTGTGCTGTCTTCTGTACAGGCTGCGACATGCGGTGCGGAAGAGTGACCGCAGTGAACACTCACTGTCGTCCCAACCCTCCTCTGGTCTTTAATTTATGGGGGAAACTCACCGTTATATGAGCTCAGGCACTGACACTGAATGATCTAGAACCCAATTCCAGGTTAGAAAGCCCATCACGTCCATCACAATCGACCTGCTGGTTGAGGCAAAGATTGTCATGCAGCCCAACCGCGCCAATGCAAGCCACACAAAAGGTCCTTGGAACTTTTGTCCGCCTGATCTGTTGGGCAACCGAGTCCCTGGAAGTTCAGGGCATCTTTCCACAGCACCCCCTTCACTCAGCTACACCGAAACAAAGGCTCATACCACTCAAAAAATTGCTATGGAATTCCTGCCTTGTGGATGCCAAACAGGTTTTGCTGTGGTACAGGCGTCGAAGGTTAGCTGAACATTTCAACTACCTCAGATTGTCTGCGCGATGGAAAGGGGACCTTTGCACACTTCCAAGCGCAGAAGAGCTGCACAGCCCCTGTGCCGGCCCCAACCAGCTGCAGCCCTGATGGTCCCTTTGCACCACTCAGAAGCATCACAGCAAGCCTCCAGGCCCTTAACGAGCGCCACCAGGGCCCTTCAGCCCGCCAAAGTCATGGCTATCTGCATGTCCAACACACATGGAACACCAAAGGGCACGGAGAAGGAGACAATTTGCGCCAAAGGTCTGTCTTCAGCCATGAATTGTGATATAATCGATCCCCTGGTGGTGTTCAACAGTTTAAGATGGTCTGATATTCTGAGAGATTTCCATAAACATATATCATCTCCGTCCTCGTTCTTCTCATGATTTCTGGATTCGTCCTTGCCAAAAGATTTTGAGCCGCCAGTTTGCCTGCCTCGAGGGTGCACACAGAAACACAAGTGTTTACGGAATCTCTCAGGCACTACTATTTCTGCTCCTTGCAAAGGTTCCAGCTTCCATCGGTCGGCACGTTGAAGGTTGCGTACTTGTTGCATTTCCTCCACAGGCTTACGTCCGTCTCTTCTCCTTCGGACCACCGATGGTCTGCATTTTTGTACAGGACCGCCCTTCACACTCATGTGTGTTTTGGTGATGAATGACTGCAGGCCCCTCCAGCATTCTGGCCCCCTCGGTCCGCTCGACCTCTGGACTCAACCAGCACACACTTAGCGGCCTCTTCCTCGAAAATGAGTCCATCTGCCGACTCTTCCTTTCTCGTCCAATCAACCTTGACGGTACGAGGGACTCATGTCCCCACTGCTCGGCACTCTGTCACTGGTCAGCACTCATGGTCATACGCATACTCGGCCTGGGTATGATGGCATTACCCACAAGGAAATGGTCCCAAAAAAGAATAGCGTCGCCCTGCTGCTCTATTCGAGGGACGAACCTAGCTCTATCGAGATGCAAGACCATTGGGCGTTTGGTACTGGTACAAGACGTGTTCGTTACGCGGTTTTGGGAGGTAATTATCGATGGTAAAGTGCCATGAATGTTGAGTACACCATGCCGCTGCCCAATATGCAGTGTTCGGGACTCTTCATCTTGGTTTGGCTGTCGTTTTTTCGTTCCTCATCCCAACCCATCCCCCACAATATTCACTGTCCCAATCCCCTTGTCCTGCGACTCAACCCCCCTCCTCAATACCTTCCATCCTTCATCAACTTTTCTTCTCTCCCCTCAAGTCTACCTTGTTGTCATTCCTGATCTCCTTGTCTTCTATCACTCCTCAACCTTGCTACAGCAAGTTATTCTTCAAACGCTTCAGACGCACACAACCGTCTGGTCTCGGACATTCTTGCTGTTGATGCAAATCCTCACTCTGACGATGTCTTCGTTCATGAACATGCCCATCCATCCTCCACCGACTGGTCAAGGCAATATCACCTCCCTTCCGAAGCAACCTTTCTCTCGTTTTGCATCCGCTTTGGTGAGCCCTTCTGCGAACATCAACTCGATGTCGCCTGCGTCACCACCGGCTGCGTACTCCTTAGGCCGCACAGAAAACTCCTTGACTACACAAATTGCACAAGCTCCTTCTCCGAGCACACCAAATCCCAAGTGCCGATGCAGCCATGGTAATGGGTACTATGATGACGGGGACATGACTCCCAAACAACGTAAGTCTCGCTCTGTTCTTCGGAGGCCATGTGTCCAATCTCTAATGACCCCTCAGGTTCAGAGGCCGAAAAAAGGGTCATTGACGAGATTGGCGGCCTCTTCTGCGATTGCGGCAAGTTCTTTGCCGGCAAATACGCAAAGACCAACCTGACCCGCCACCTTCGCGAGCAAGGCACTCGCCTTCGATGCACCTACTGTCAGAGCGAGTTCGCTCGTCCCGGAAATCTCCACAACCATATCCTAGAGAAGCACCCGCAGCAGGTGTGCACGCATTGCGGCATGGTCCCTCCTCAACGGTTCAAGTGTCCAAAATGCTCGCGGGTCTTTCAAACCATGGATGATTTGCACCGACACTTGCACACGAAACATCGAAATGATCGCTAAGGATTGCGACCGCTTTACGTTACTTCTGCAGCCATGATACCCGCGACGTATGATATCTCACCCTTTTTTATTCTGGAGACAAGGACAGCATGAGCATGAGCATCGGTGCTGGATTCCAGAGGCATACATAGAAGGGCCCACCGTACTTTGAGACTTGGTTTTTCTTCTGGTGATAGGGTTGGTTTTGCTTTGCTCGAGATGGGGTTTGGGACAAAATGGTGTTTTCTCAAAACATTTTGGTACATACTTCTACACGTACCACGGCCCGGATGATTTGAATACCAGCACAGGGATGATGAGATGTGCCGGACAAGAGTCTGGCCAAAAACTTTTTGCGATGTGACACCAGATACTTTTTACCTATTGACAATTGATTTTTCTACTATGGGCTGTCTCAACTTGCTGCTCGAGTATTTTGAAGTTCCAAACTTCGACTTCGACTTCGACTTCCACCTCCGCACCTACACTTATCAATCTCTCTTCGTCGCCCGAGGTCCATTTAGATGATCACCCTCTGAGAAGTAACTTCCCCCTGCTTAGGTTTTTTCGCATCTCGTCCACTTTTCTGCAGATGGAACTGCAGAATGCTGATGTGAAGCAAACGCCTACAAATTTACATTTGGGTGAGGGTGCTGCTACGGACACCCCGAGGAAGGGAAGGGGGAGGGGGGCGGCGAAATGACTCACAGAGGGGAGAGAGGCTTCAGAGGCCAGAAGGAAAGGGCCTGGAATGTCTACAAGTAGGTAAACTATGAAGGCCCCCGGAGCGAGTGCCCTTGGGGGGTGTGCGAGGTAGATGCCTTTAAAGATGTCCTCCCCGAGGAAAAGGCTGGGTGGGTGGTGTATTCATTAAGTGACTTCGCCTTATAGGGCTCTTTGGTGGGGGGGGGGGGGGGGAGGACTATGGGCGACGATCCCCTATAAGGGAGCCTAGAAGATAGGTTATATGGGGGGCACGCGGGGCCTAGAGTTTAGGCGCCGTAGGCGGTTTAGGTAGGTAGGTGCTTGCATGCATAGTTATCTACGAGTAGGTCGGTAGGCAGGTAGAGAACGAGCTTGTAGGTAACTACATACAGACGTGCTAAGGTGGCGTTCAGCGCTGTGGTGCGTTGTCTTGCGGGGCGGTACGGGCCATGAGCAGAGAAGGAAAGGAAGGGATCGACCGAGCCACTGACCAGCCGGACGGAGGAGAGCAGACCAGAGGGAAGAATGACGAGTGACGAGCTGAAGGAGGCGGAACAGGAAGGTGACACGGCATGGCATGGCGGGCACTGCGCAGCTTTGCTCTACTCTGCTCTGCACAGCCAGTCCAGCCACTAACAAGCACTCCTCCTACGTGCACCAGCTTGCACACTGCAATGGGACTGAGGAGTGAAGAGTGAAGAGTGACGCAGCACAAGGAGAGGGTGGCGAGACCCAAGCCCAAGACAACCAACTCAAAGCTAAGCCATGCATCAGGGTTGGTTTGGCTTTGGCTTTGGCTTTGGCTTTGGCTTCAGCGTTGGGTCTTAGGTATCTGTCACAAATACATACTCGGTACATACTCGTACTCTTGGCCATGGATGGATGGGCCATCAATCTGCTACCCAAGGAAGTCTGGTGGGATGGGAAGAGATGGGAGGGGACGGAGGACGGGCGCGGGGACGGAGAGAGTGGTTTGGATTTCCCTATCGAGCTAGGTGAGGAGATTCGCTGGGCTCGGGGGCCAGAACTCAACGTTCTCGGCGAGGTGACGAGGTGCCTACGAGGTACATAGGTACGTATGTAGCTGTGATGCCGACCAGCGCATTTACATTTGCCCCCCAACGTAGGTTCGTAGGCGCGTAGGTGCCATTTGGGGGG